TGCCAGCCAGTAGAATGCATTTGGCATTCCAGAAAATCAAGCAGTGTGTGGTGATTAATGGTACGAAAACGTCACGTGTACTCGTGACAAGCAGGGTACCACAGGGCGGTGTACTGGGCCCGTTGTTGTTTGTTTGTTTCAGAAATGACATGTCGGAAGCTATACAGTCTTCCATACAAACTTTTGCGGACGATACCAAGTTATTCGGGGAAATTAAGAACCAACCAAACTGTGAAGAGCTACAGAAAGATCTCTGTGAGTTTTAAGAATGATCGAAGAAATGGTAGCTAAGATTCAATGTCACGAAGTGTAAGAGGATGCACCAAGGTCGTGCCAACGGCAAGGAGGCGTATCAAATGTCTCAACGGGACGAAAAAACTGCATTAATAGAGACTGGGTGTGAAAAGAACCTAGATGTGTATGTTGTCAACGAACTGAAGTTCTCGGCCATTGTGAGAAGAAGGTGAATCAAGCAACTAAACTAGTAGGTCTTATAAGGTCTGGAATACTGTCACCCCATCTGGTCCCCAAGATATGCAAGAGACTGCCAGTTGATTGAAAATATCGAAAGGAGGGCCACCAGGCGGGTGCCTGCACTACGGCACCTCAGTTATCCAGAGAGATTAGAATTCCTGCAACTGCCTAGCTTATACTACAGATGGGCAAGGGGAGACCTAATTGAGGTGTATAAACATCTCAGAGGGTGCTACTCAGTCGATTGTCCATACCTGGAGCTGGCGGACGCTCGCCCCACAAGGGGTCATAGCTCAATGTTGAAGAAGCCACAAGTTTAGAAAACTGTAAGGGCAAGCTGTTTCGGAGTTAGAATTGTGAATTCTTGGAACAACCTGTTGTTATATATGTGTATGTTTATATGCTGCCTTTATTGATTATATATACATTATATATTATGTTACTTCTTACCAAAGTTAGAATGTGTTAAGGCCTGCGTTAGGCACGTGGTACGATAACAACAACAATAAACCACCTGAGTAAGAGTTAGCATGTGGCTTCTCACTCTCCCATTAAATCATGTAAGATACTACACCTGTCAGAAAGTGTTGTGACGGCACCGAGTGTGAGCTCATTCAAGACCAGACTTGACCAACACTGGAGCAGGTCCACATACATTCAGGAGCCAGTGCATATGCAGTACTTGCCAACAGTGTGTGACAGAGACGTGACCGATCACCCAAGATGCTAACGAGCCGATCAGTGGAGAAGAGGATAAAGGTAAAAGTAAGAACATGGTCTTTTCGGCAGGAGTTGATTTTGAACTTCTTGCCGGTTGCAGAATTCGGGTGGTTTCATTGCATGGGGTTCATTTTTTACTCAGGTATTATATTCCATCACTAATTGAGAAAGAGTGTTGTTTAAATCGGTTTCATACAGTTCTAAGAGCTTAGGTTTGGTTACGTTAAGTTTGGTTAGTGTTAGGGTGGTCAATCATTTGGTTAGATAAACTGGGGTGGAGTTTCTTCACGTGATCCTCCCCAAATGTTGATGGATGGTGGTAACAACACTTGTATGTGGAATGCCACTCAGTGCTTATTTCATCAACTTTGATGCTCCAGTCCATTATAATAAAGTTTTCGAACTAAATGGCATCTGAAAGCCGTACTGACCCGCTCTCTAGCTCACGCCTGTGATTTTTTTTTTTTTTTACGGGAATTATAGTCCACCCAGGCACAGGTCACTGACCCACATCGGGGCCTGGGGGGCGAAAATGTAATAATAATAATAATAATAATAATAATAATAATAATAATAATAATAATAATAATAATAATAATAATAATAATAATAATAATAATAATAATAATAATAATAATAATAATAATAATAATAATAATAATATAATCATAATAATAATAACAATAATAATAAAGAACCATAAAGAAATGCAAAATGAAAAAAAAATCAAAAGTAAGGAACAATGTATGTATGTTGTGTTAAGAGAAAAAATTGAGACCCTGCAATTGTGTGTAAAAGAGGCAGAAAGTCAGATCAGCAACCTAGGACTTGGTCACAATTTTCGTGATGCCATGTGGCAGCAGGATCTACCATAGACAACACATTATGCTTCCAATATCTTCCCAGGCGGTAGTACCTCCCTATTTGGTAGCTGCCTAATACCTACTACCTAGTGAATGGCATCTGTGCCATAGTGTATGGCATCTGTGCCATATACACTATACACCACGCGCCTTTGTTTTTCTTAAGTTTTGGAACCTTCTTTTGTTTGGAGCTTTACGATCTTCCGATGTTCAATTTTGCCTAAATCTGTAAATTTTTCAAACGTCATGGTTTAAGTTCTGACACTTAAACAATATAATTTTATCACATTAGACTAATCAACTGGAACAAATATCCAAGCATTCAACTTTATGTTACCAAACAGGGAGAATCCTGATACATTGCTTTCCACTGAATTATGCTTTACCCCTGAATTACAATCCCCTTTGAATACCCCTCGAAGGATTTGGTATCGTCTGCGACATCCTTCCTCTGCACTGGCTCAATATATTGCTTCGAAACGTTGTACTAACTCTCTCATCTCCGGGTAACGACGCAAGAAATTTTGAAATTTTCGAAAAAAAAAAATATGGATAAAAATTGGACCAAGGTATGTCCCGCGCCAGTAGCCAAATATCATTTATATGTGCAGAATTAATCATTAATTTCTTTTTAATTTGGTAGCAGCTTATTGTCCCTTGTGAAAAAGTCTGGTTGGTTTTCCCTAGTGGAACTTCTTCAGTAGACCAAGTGTCTGTTTTGACAGCCTGGCAGCCCCTCAGGCTGTTTAACAAAGTGGGTCTGCCCAAGGTCCTCAGTGTAATAAAGAAAGACACCAAACATGTGACAAAGAGTCAGGTAAAGGGGGAATCCCTGTGAATCTGGGAGGAGTGTGAAGCAAACGACCTTCTTTTCCGCCTGTCTGTCCATCCTTCAGGCATTTCCGCTACGGTGTGGGTTATATTATTACACTATTACATTTTTCTCCAAAATTCATTACTGCCAGTGCATCTAATTGGTAAATTTTAATTAAGTTACAAATCATCATCGAAATTTCACGGACGCTTAGCCATATGACGTGTTATGTTTTTCTCAAGTAGAATGTGTGTGGGGTAATAATGTAACACACAAATCTTTAGTAATCTGGGAAGGCGGTGGTCGTGCAACTTCGGTTGTAAGACCGTAGAGGAAATGCCTGAGGGATAGACAGGTAGGCGGAGAAGAACGCTTTCGTACAGTACATACTTTTTCTTATTTACCTGAAGGCCACCCAAACTAGAGGTGGCCATGTCGAGGGAAGAAAACCAGTTGCCTGTGTAATGTGCATAGTCTTGTAAAGAGCTTTTATGAAGCCCAATACTTTTCCCGATTCGACAGATTGGGCTGGTAGACTTCCGTAGGTCTACCAACGCCTCTGTAAAGAAGTATTTCCTTATATTCGCCCTGCATGACAATTAGGCGAGCTTAAAGTTGGTGGTGCGCAACATCACGAAAAAAAAAATCCTGGTTCACCTCTTCCACCCCTTTCAAGATTTTGAATGTCTATGAGATCCGCTTTATTGTATTTTGTCTGAAGAGTTGTTAGTCCCAAGTCCCTCAGTGAGAATTAACTGTAATTCGTGAATGTGGGTCCCATAGGCTTGATGGTGTATTCAGAGCAGTGCAGATACACTTCACTAATACTAAACCCCCTTTTTATATTATTTTATCTAATGTAAAACCCCGAGTATCAACATGTAAAATCCAGTATATACAAACATTAATAATCCACCGTATATACAGATTTGTATTTTGGTAAGTGTATAATGTATCAGTTATGTACCGTACATTAGGTTTATAAACAAAAATATCTTCTCGAGATTGGCCTTTCAAGTAATTTTTTTAACTTTATCCTTCTTCTCGTCTTGCAAAAATAAACTGAAACACGTCAAAGCTTTTTCTGATCCTGTTAATAACTGCAGCGTCACCAGACAGGAGCAGGGGGTGGGTGATAGACGATCATACCCTGCCAAGGATTTTCCTGCATTCGGGATTTATTTCTTATACATACTGTGAAGTTAATACTTTATATACAGTGAGCTTAATCACAGCTGGGTAAACTGGGGTTGAACTGAAGGCAAGCACTTGTATCCCACTAAGCCACTGCACACATTTGTTTTTTCTTTTGCTGTTGGATATATCGATAATCTATTTTTTTAATCATAAAAACAAGAAGAATACATCTATTTTACGGTACACACACCGTAGTCAAAATTACTGCACTACCTTCAAAAAGCGGTGGTTACAAGAGTACTTTATTATAGGAAATCTATCCTCCTGGGCACATTATAATATTAAGAAATTAGGATTAAACAAAATCTCTCTCTCTCTCTCTCTCTCTCTCTCTCTCTCTCTCTCTCTCTCTCTCTCTCTGGAATATATACCAACGGAATTCGTAAATTTTACATATCAATTAACTTTTCTCTCTTTTATAGCATCATCATTACTCTTATACTTACCTAAATGATTATAATGAGATGTTTTGACTGAAGGTGTGTCGTGGTAGGTGTGTCGTGGTAGGTATGTCATAGTAGGTGTGTCATAGTAGGTGTGTCATAATAGGTAGGTGTGTCGTGATAAATGTATCATGGCAGGTGTGTCATGGTAGGTGTGTCGTGGTAAATGTATCATGGTATGGTAGGTGTGTCGTGGTAAACGTATCATGGATGGTGTGTCGTGGTAAATGTATCATGGTAGGTGTGTCGTGGTAAATGTATCATGGTAGGTGTGTCGTGGTAAATGTATCATGGTAGGTGTGTTGTGGTAAATGTATCATAGTACAGTACACGTTACCCTTTTAACTCAAAAGCGAACACTTCTACCTTAACTATAACTTTACCCCCACCAAAATCCCCGGGATCTACACAGAGTTGCCAGCAGCACCTTGTGCCCTTGACAACATGTGAGGATGAGCGAGTGACGTGTCTCTCAGAGGTATAAAAGGGCGCGTCGCCTCGTTCTCATCACAGTCAGCCAGAGATTCTCCGCCGTCATGAACACCTTGGTGAGTTGATCCAACTATTGTTATTACTATCTATCTATCTATCTATCCATCTTCAAATATGTGTGTATAATGATATAAGAATGAATATTAAAAACCAACATATATACAGGTACACAAAATGAGGACTAATTCATAAACATTTCTTTATTCTCTTCACCACTTGTCTTGTTACTCATTACTGCCAAGTACTGGGCATGTACTCGACTGTATTATAATGCAATTCTCTATATTAACCCGTGTGTTTATCGTGCAGGTCGTTGTTGCTGCCCTGGCGGCCTTCTGCTTGGTTGCTGGAAGTGCTGAGCCTGAGGCTGAACCCGGATATGGTGGCTACAGAGGCCATGGTAGCTACACACGCCATGGTAGCTATGTTCCTTACACTGGGGGCTATCATGGAGGCTCCAATAAACATTACATCGGTAAAAGGAGTGCTGAGGCTCTGGCTGACCCTGAACCCGGATATAAACACGCAGGCCATGGTCACTACCTAGAGTTTGGTCGCTCTGGCTCCTACACAGGGGGCTATCGTGGACGCTATCGTGGAGCTTACCACTGAGGCTACCGTCGTGACAGGAGTCCTGAGCCTACCGCAGCGGCTCTTCCTGACCCTAAAGCCAACCCCAGCCATAGTAGCTACTGTTATATATATGTATGTTTATATGCTGCCTTTATTGAATGTATATATTATATATTATGTTACTTCTTACGAAATGTGTTAGGCACGTAGTAACGAAGAACAGAGAATAAACAGCCAGCCAGACATACCATGTGACTCTTCATTCTCCCATAAATAACCCAAGATACTACAGCTACGAATACTATGGTGGCTATAGACGGTGAGCTGCTATTGAGGTTCTTCCTTCACTTTGGTTACTGACTATGGACTAGGGTGATTTAAAATTGTAAATAAACATATGAAATATAATCACTGTGAGAAGTCATTATCCCTTGTGGAAATTATCACAAACGCCTAAATTTTCTTAGGTTGTCGCTAGGAAATCAAGTGAAGAAACCCGCTGAGTCATGGCTGAAGGAAGAGCCAAGGTCAAAGTCACCCTGCTGCTAGCCACACCATCTAGATTCTAGAGCCATACCTCAGCATAAGATATACAGTATTTACATACTGTATAGTATTATCTCTCTGATAATAAACTAAACTAACTAGCAGAAAATATTAATTTCTCGATAATTTTTCTTTCGAGTTGATGTTCCGTCCAGTGAACGACATCATCTTGTGTCAGGTCCATCCCACCTCACAGCTCACGACTCAGTTTCTTCTGAAAACTGATGCTCCGGGCACTCACTTTGTGGCAGTATGTAAAGTTGCCATCTGCTACTCGACGATGTTTGATGATTTTCATACATACAAATTAATTATGGGAAGAGCTCACCAAAACCGATAAAGGCGATAATTTAATATTCTAAGATATGTGTTTTTAACACGCAGATGACCGCTGCTGTCCTGGCAGCCAAGTTCCTGACCCATTTACTCTCTGAAGCCTCTCATCTGCTGCTCTCTTGAGGACCAGTATTAGAAAAGTACAGTACATATATGGAGGCTGTAAGTCTTGTATTACTTACTGGGTTTGAGAACTATGGAAGGTGGCTTTAATTTTATTACTGCCTATTTTACAAAAGCTGCCAAGTCATCCCACGTCGGAGCGATGACCAAGGTCAACGGATGCCTCTCCTGGTGTGAGAATGCTGCACTGTTGTATTTATATGTATGGTACATTGCAAAGGCTTTCGAGTTTTGGTTAGCAAATGTAAAACAATTAAAGCAACCTATAAAAACAATATTTGTTTGCTGGTATATCCTTATCGTCACTTGTTAGCTTACTGGACACAGCCGTACCTTTGTGGGGGAAATGGGATATTGGTTCACACTCAGGATGGGATGAAGAAAGGAAACTCACAATGTGCTCACTATATACATATTGTATTGGATGTACAATGCAGTTTGTTGCTGGGTAGGCAGCATGGTAACAAGCGTTGAGTAGGGGAAAGGTCACGGCAGGGTTAGCTCCGGAGGGATAATTATCAGATATGGCCAGTGCTATGTGCGGTCTTGGGTATGAGAGTTTGTTGACCAAACTGGGGTGGTCCATTGAAGAATTGGCGAGGGCCAAGTTAGAAATTGAGAGGGCCACGTTGGAGAACCTGAAATTAAGGAAAGAGCTGGCGAAGTTAAAAGGAGAGGCTGGACGAGTAAAGCCAGTGTCTGACGAAAAATCAAGCGAGTGGAAAATTGTGAGTAGTGGGAGGACCAAGCTGGTGGTGAAGAAGCACACGAAGGATACGACAACAACGACAACAACAGCTAAGTGTACCAACCCGTTCAGTCCCTTGATAGACGAATTGGACGTTAGTACAGTCAGGGGCAGGGATGACAAGGAAGGAATAAAAACTTTAATTGTTGGTGACTCACAGGTAAGGTACATGGACAGGGCCTTTTGTGGTAAAAACAAAAATAGGATGAGGGTGTGTTTGCCAGGGGCTGGGGTGGGGGATATAATTGACAGGATGGACAATATCTTGTCTGGTAATGGGAACAAACCCATTATCTGCCTCAGTGCAGGAGGCAATGATATTGGCCGGTGTAGGAGCGAGGAACTTCTTGATAAGTTCAAGGCAGCCATAGATCGTATTAGGACTAAGGGAGGGATCCCTATCATATGCTGTGCCCTGCCTAGAAGAAGAGTTGGCAGTGAATGGTTGTCAAGGGCAGTTGGTGTCAACGACCGTCTTGACAGATATTGCAAGTCAATATCAGTCCCATTCATTGACAACTAGGACAACTTCTATGGCAGAAGGGACCTCTATCCTAGGGATGGGGTGCACCTGTCTAGGGATGGAGTAGCAACCCTGGCTGGGGCTCTAGAGGGGGCAGTTCAAAAGATATCGAAGTCTTTAAACTGCTAAGAGAACATATGGGCACGGGGGTGGAGGAGACTGCAGTGGGAGAGGGTAAACAAGGCGAAAGATTACAGGGAAATAGTGTTAGGAATGATGACAAAACTAAATTAGACAGGGAGTTTAAAACTAAACGCGGTAAGGGGAGGACTCAGAACACGACTAACTTAAATGTATACTACGCGAACAGTAGAAGTATGAGAAACAAAATGGATGATATTAGGGCCTTGGTATGTACCGAAGAAATCGATATAATTGCATTCACTGAAACATGGATCAACCTAGACACACGTGAATTACCAGTCGAATACCAAATTGCGGGTTACAAACTGTTCCATACCGATAGACAGACCAGGAAAGGAGGCGGAGTAGCAATCTATGTTAGGGATAATCTGAAGTGTGAAATAAATAAGGAAATAAAAACTGAGAGGAATACAGAAACATTTTGGATAGAATTAAGCGACGGTCGGGAAAAATTATTCACAGGAGTAATATATAGACCCCCCAATCTTGATAGCGTCAATGAGCGACTTATCTGGGATGAAATGCGCAGGGCTTCCATACACAACAAAGTCTGTATAGTAGGCGACTTTAACCTTGGCCAAATAGATTGGACTGACCTTACGGGCAACTCAGATCCAGAGGATTTTCTCGAGACGATCCAGGACTGTTTCCTAAGTCAACATATTACCGAACCCACACGGGGTAATAATATACTGGATTTAGTTCTGTCGAACAGAGAAAACCTCATTAGCAATGTCGAGGTAGGGAACGAACTTGCAAACAGCGATCACAGAGAAATTCGATTCCAGTTAGATTTTCAGGGCAGACGTAAGGAAAATTCCACTAAAGTACCAGATTTCAGAAGGGCAAACTTTGACAGTTTAAAGAGGCAGCTGAGAGAGGGGGTGTCGCGGGCGTGAACCTGACAGATGACACCCGACCTGATAACGAGATCTGAGATTGCCGAGTTCCACGACAATTTAAATAGTGAGTTACTTAATGCACAAAAGGCAGAACATGCCATACAAAAAACTCAGATCAGACAACAATGACCCTAAATGGATAAATAATTATTTAAAGAACATCATTGGCCAAAGGAAGGCTATAGGTAGAATGATAAATCGTGGCGAAATTCACCTCCGGGACTATTATAGGGTATTGGCGAGTAGGGTTAAAACCGAGATAAGGAAAGCAAAGAGGAATAATGAGGTAAGCAAAGGATTCTACCAAATGTATCAAACTAAAACACGAGAAAAGATTGGACCAATACGGTCAGACTCCGGCGAGCTCACTGATAACGATGGAGAAATGAGCAATAATTTGAATAAATATTTTTCAACTGTTTTCACCACCGAAAATTTAAACATGATACCCGAGGCACCGACTCTATTCAGAGATAGTGAAGAAAACAAATTAAGTGAGATAGTAGTGACTAGTAACGATGTTAGTAAGCAAATAGACAAATTAAAGCCTAATAAGTCACCTGGTCCCGATGAGATATTTGCCAGAGTATTAAAGGAATGTAAGGAAGAGCTTAGTATGCCCTTAGCAAAGTTGTTTAACATGTCCTTAAAAGCAGGTGTAGTACCAGAATCCTGGAGGATGGCGAATGTAATACCGATTTTCAAGAAGGGGGATAGATCACGATCCTCTAACTACCGCCCAATGAGTCTAACATCAATAGTAGGCAAATTACTGGAAGCAATCATTTCAAACTCTATTCGAAATCACCTGGAGAAGCACCGATTGATCAATGATTCCCAGCATGGCTTCACAAGCGGACGTTCTTGCCTAACTAATCTATTAACATTCTTTTCATCAGTTTTCGAATCGGTGGACGAGGGGCACAAGTATGATGTGGTATATCTCGACTTTAGTAAAGCCTTCGACAGAGTCCCCCACGAAAGACTAATTAGAAAGGTAGAAGCTCATGGCATCAAAGGTGACATCCTTAAATGGATTAGGGCGTGGTTACAGGACAGGAAACAGCGAGTGAGCATTAACGGCACTAAGTCCCATTGGAGCAACGTCACAAGTGGAGTTCCCCAAGGCTCAGTACTTGGACCTTTATTGTTTATTATATACATAAACGACATAGATATTGGCATAGACAGCAACATAAGTAAATTTGCTGATGACACTAAAATAGGACGTGTTATCAAATCTGACGAGGACTCGGCAAAACTACAGGAAGATCTAAACAAATTTTTCGAATGGTCTGAAAAATGGCAGATGAAATTCAACGTAGACAAATGTAAAGTACTCAGTATAGGAGATGTAAACAGGGAAACCAGATACCAGATGAACAACGATGCCATAGAGAAATCCGACTGCGAGAGAGATTTAGGAGTAATGATAAGTAGGAACCTTAAGCCAAGTAAACAATGTGTTTTTGCTCGTAACAAGGCTAATAAAGTACTTGGGTTCATACAAAGGAGTGTTAGTTACAAGACTAGCGAGGTCATCCTAAAACTGTATCTTGCTCTTGTGAGACCACACCTGGATTACGCAGTTCAGTTCTGGTCACCGTATTACAGAATGGATATAGAATCCTTGGAAAGAATTCAGAGGAGAATGACAAGACTAATCCCGGGCATAGGAACCTTGAGTATAGAGACAGGTTAAAGCATCTTAATTTGCACTCCCTTGAGAGACGTAGAGCGAGGGGCGACCTGATAGAGGTGTATAAGTGGAAGGCAGGGCTAAACAAAGGGGACATTACAAAGGTACTCAAATTATCCAACCAGGAGCGAACTCGTAACAATGGTTTTAAATTAGACAAATTTAGATTTAGGCGTGAAATAGGTAAACACTGGTTTGGGAACAGAGTAGTGGATGAATGGAACAAGTTACCAAATATCATCATTAACTCGAATACGCTGAATTGCTTCAAACATAGGTTGGATGCTCATATGAGCAATAGGGGTTGGGTGTAGACGGGACTGCCCAGTATGGGCCAATAGGCCCGCTGCAGTTTCCTCCATTCTTATGTTCTTATGTTCTTATGCCCAGAGGAGCACGCGGCTTGAGGGACGCCGAGGTCACCGGCGGGAGCGGGAGCCGCCAGGCTGGCGCGGAGGAGGGGTTGCTTGCTGGTGCTACTGGGTAGAAAGAGAGCGGTCTTGACTTGACTTGACGTCTGTAGATAAGGTAGAAGGCTTGTAATGCTGGGTGGGAGGGCCGGGATTAGGATTGGAAGTTCTTTGGTGGCAATTTGGGGGAGAGAGGATTGGTTTAGGATCAAGGAAAAGAGGGAGGAAATTTGAAGGAAAGTAAGAGGTTAACAATATCCGGGCTCAAACAGATATGCTGAGGTCATAATAATTATATTTGAACTTACGTCTTGCGTGATTAGGTTCTAGCTCTCAAGCCTTTTTCGTTTAGTTAAAAGTATGTTTATTTTGAGGTAGCCATTGTTTCAAGGAAGGGGTGACGACCTCTGGCCAGGTTCTTGTGGAACTGGCGGTGTCAGGCCTTATAAGGAGGGGGTAGGCGTGGGTAGATAGTTGACCCCCGCTCCGTGGGCGGCGCTGGAGGCGTAGGCTGGGGAATTCGAGAAGGTTCGGTGCTTGTAGGGGATGAATCCACTACACCTTCACCTCCCTCACTCGGGCTCTCTGCCCCACCCATTTGGAGTCTCCTTGTTTCTCCAGTCACTGTTTTCATTACTGGAGGATGACTCGAGTTATATATCAAAAACCTAATGTGATTTGAGTAATTACTATTTTTTCTTACAATTAAATATCGCAAGGAGAGAGAGACTGTATCACCGTCAAGCCTCCAGCTATGCTTCCCTCTCTCAAACACTAAAGATTCTCTGCTTGGGTGTGACTACCACAATAGAACGCACATCTACAAACATGCCGTCATTACTACTATCAACATACCCTTGAAATTTAATTAATCATATTTATCTTAACTCTTCTCTGGAATATCTCCCGTTGTCCGAAAAGAATTAAACCAAAATAAAAACATCCAGACTATTTTCATAAGTTCCCCAACTCGCACCTGAATGTGAGGAAATATTTTGTTCCCTTCCTGGTGAGGCAACACGCACAAAAAGTTGATAAGCCAAGTTGAGGGTGGAGTGGAACTACACTGACTAGTCCCACACTCTCGCGCGTAAACACACCATTGCACGTACGGTATTGCTTTTGTGCACTATTTTATTGTGTTGAATTAGTTCACGTACTGTACACAAAGAACATAGAATTTCAGGAGTGTCCCAGCAACACTGGAAAGCCAGAGGCTGTTACCGGGAAACTTAAGAGTGAGGAAACCTTGTTCTGAGTGCAGCAGGTGCGGGAGAGTCACGGCCACACCTGCCACAGTCTTATCTCACCTCAACAACAACCTTTACAATATACTTATGTAACAACTAATGTACTAACAAGTTTCCCTGACCAGTTGATGCTCCGTCAGGTGACTCTACAGTATTGAGTAAAGGTTAAGTGTCGCCCAGACAACCTATACTTACTCTAGTTTTTTGTCGGTGTTGTGTGTTTTTTGGGTGATTGTTAGTAATACTTTATTCAGGGAACTGTTGCCTCTGTGTTTCATAATGGGGATGCACACTACAGTCCAGTTCACTCTGCAGCCAGTTATTACGACACTGTTTATTGTTGAATATTTATCACACTAGATCCGAAAATTTCCAATTCTTGTACAGTACTGTGAGAGATAAATTCAGGCTTAACTGTTCTTACGTCTTACGGGACTGTATAGTGTATACATTACTTCTGAATAAAAAAAAAATCGTATGAAATTTTTATTTCAGGGGTAACAGCCAAATTACTAGTTGTACGAGCGGTTTGAAATTTATATTTTAACGTAGTTACAGTGATAATTAATATTTAATAGTTTTCGAGTCCCACCCAGAGATGCGGTGGCTGAAAATGATGGGTGTTCATGACGGCGGAGGATCTATGGCTGACTGTGATGCGAACGATTTTTTTTTTTTTTTAGATTTGTAGGATTATTACCTACGCGGACCTTAAGCTAAAATGTTGGTCCACCCACTGCTGGGATAAAACACCAGAGTCTTCTTGGTTAAATGTACGTCACCACTAGTGTGGGGGGGATGAGAACGAGGCGACACGCCCTTTTATACCTCAGAGACAAATCACTCCCTCACCCTCACATGTTGTCAAGGGCACAAGGTGCTGCTGGCAACTCTGTGTAGATCCCAGGGATTTTGGTGGGGGTAAAGTTATAGTTAAGGTAGAAGTGTTCGCTTTTGAGTTAAAAGGGTAACGTGTATGTAATGCGCCCTGGTAAATCATGTAACATGCCAAGTTGTGTTATTTTTATTTGCACACGTGTTATTTTCTCAGTTCTGTTTAGTTTTGTAAGAAAACTTTTGAACTTTTAATATTTTATAGTTATATCACATCTTCATCCAGGTAGCTCTCGTATGTTCAAGGAAAATATTTTAGAATATTGTGGGATCGCACTGAAACGACCGGAAATGAGGAGGATATTACTGGCCTTCTAAATGACGGGTTTTTTAATTCACTGATTAATTGTAATATTGTAAGCAACATCAATAAATTAAGGAAGGGAGGAGCGAAAACCACTGTTTACTTCCCGTCTCCCTCCCACATAGCCCTCCTGGATTCATTTGTGAGTTTGGTATTGGAAAGATTCGGAAGAGGTCGACCACAGAAATTACTAACAAAAACAGGTTTTTCTGGTGTATTTTGTTGTGTTTCAAGAAATTTTGACCTTCATTTCCGACGCAAATGATCCGTTATTAGTCCAGCGGATAAGCTGCCAAAAAGGGCCGAACTGTTCATATTGGGACGAAAGTATTTGGTAGAGATTTAATTAAACCTATGTGGAAGCTTATAAAAGTTGGACCCATCTCATAATTGTATTCTAAGGTGGTCAAATGGCACCATGGATGTTCGCTATGCTCGCTGGTTTCCAGTACATCTCCGAGACATATTGGCTTTACCCAGCAAGCACCCGCAAGTGTATGAAGAACTCAAGAATGGTAAATCTGTTGTTCAAAAGTCTGGTCATGTGTCCAGCCTAATTGCGCTAGATTGCTTGACTATAATCAAGAGCAATAAAAATAAGCTAAAGGCGGTGGGGCTGCCGTGGGCCTCACATGCAGACAACCCATTAGCTTTTCACCTCTTCCCGTCACAGCCTCACCTCTTCCATTCAAGTGGGTGCAGTGATCATGCCCTCCTGGAAAGTTCTTGCTACACTGAGATAAAAATAACCCTCACCATGCTGTCAGGGTTTCATTATCCTGGTTTACAGGTTATTAGCTAATCTGCTTCGTGTTTTGGGAGTGCCATGTCCCCTCTATCAGCTGTTGATTCGTCAAACAGTTCCCAGCACTAATTGATAACAATCAAACCTAACCAATGGGTTTCCAGCTTAGTAATAACGGGTCCCAATCCCAATAAATACTGATTTCAAAGGATCCCAAATTTAATGGGCTCCAACCGTAGTGTTCAGGACCGTAATGCCTCAGGGGCGATTAAGATTAAGGTCTCTTTGATCTTGCTAATTTCAGTGTTGACTTTGTTACAGCTCAGCATAAGAGGCCAATATATATATATATATATATATATATATATATATATATATATATATATATATATATATATATATATATATATATATATATACAGTATACTAGGGAGATAGAGGTGGTGTTTGTATTAGCTAGAAAGGTGGTGCATGTATTAGCTAGAGAAATAGATTATTTCCAGTCTTATCCATATCATTTTCTTACATAATCTATTCTTGCTTCCTTTTCTTAACTCCTACCACATTTGAGGAGTGATTCACAAACAACAATAAAGACTATATTTTAACAATGGTTATTGCAATTTTCAAAACGGATAATAACGCAGGTTTTATAAATTCAATCTATATATTTATTAACATTTTAAAGATAACAATAATACAGTCAGTAGCGAGAGTAAGTTAGAGTCAGTAGGCGGTGATGGCAGGTGTTCAGCCGTGGTATGATCCGGAGTAGAGAGGACGTGTATAACTGGAGCGTCCGTAGCCTTTATATCCATAGTGGCTGGGATTGGCTTCGGGTTCAGCGCTCCTCTTACCTTGGTGGTGTCCATGATAGACCGCAGCGTGATGACCATACCTACCATAGCCTCTGTAGCCACCATATCCGGGTTCAGCCTCAGGCTCAGCCAGAGCTTCAGCACTCCTTTTACCGATGTAATGTTTATTGGAGCCTCCATGATAGCCACCAGTGTAAGGAACATAGCTACCATGGCGTGTGTAGCTACCATGGCCTCTGTAGCTATCATGTCCGGGTTCAGCCTCAGGCTCAGCCAGAGCTTCAGCACTCCTTTTACCGATGTAATGTTTATTGGAGCCTCCATGATAGCCCCCAGTGTAAGGAACATAGCTACCATGGCGTGTGTAGCTACCATGGCCTCTGTAGCTATCATGTCCGGGTTCAGCCTCAGGCTCAGCCAGAGCTTCAGCACTCCTTTTACCGATGTAATGTTTATTGGAGCCTCCATGATAGCCCCCAGTGTAAGGAACATAGCTACCATGTCCGGGTTCAGCCTCAGGCTCAGCCAGAGCCTCAGCACTCCTTTTACCGATGTAATGTTTATTGGAGCCTCCATGATAGCCACCAGTGTAAGGAACATAGCTACCATGGCTTCTGTAGCTACCATGGCCTCTGTAGCTACCATATCCGGGTTCAGCCTCAGGCTCAGCCAGAGCCTCAGCACTCCTTTTACCGATGTAATGTTTATTGGAGCCTCCATGATAGCCCCCAGTGTAAGGAACATAGCTACCATGGCTTCTGTAGCTACCATGTGCGGGTTCAGCATCAGGCTCAGCACTTCCAGCAACCAAGCAGAAGGCCGCCAGGGCAGCAACAACGACCTGCACGATAAACACACGGGTTAATATAGAGAATTGCATTATAATACAGTCGAGTACATGCCCAGTACTTGGCAGTAATGAGTAACAAGACAAGTGGTGAAGAGAATAAAGTAATGTTTATGAATTAGTCCTCATTTTGTGTACCTGTATATATGTTGGTTTTTAATATTCATTCTTATATCATTATACACACATATTTGAAGATGGATAGATAGATAGATAGATAGTAATAACAATAGTTGGATCAACTCACCAAGGTGTTCATGACGGCGGAGAATCTCTGGCTGACTGTGATGAGAACGAGGCGACGCGCCCTTTTATACCTCTGAGAGACACGTCACTCCCTCATCCTCACATGTTGTCAAGGGCACAAGGTGCTGCTGGCAACTCTGTGTAGATCCCGGGGATTTTGGTGGGGGTAAAGTTATAGTTAAGGTAGAAGTGTTCGCTTTTGAGTTAAAAGGGTAACGTGTATGTAATGCGCCCTGGTAAATCATGTAACATGCCAAGTTGTGTTATTTTTATTTGCACACGTATTATTTTCTCAGTTCTGTTTAGTTTTGTAAGAAAACTTTTGAACTTTTAATATTTTATAGATATATCACATCTTAATCCAGGTAGCTCTCGTATGTTCAAGGAAAATATTTTAGAATATTTTGGGATCGCACTGAAACGACCGGAAATGAGGAGGATATTGCTGGCCTTCTAAATGACGGTTTTTTTTAATTCACTGATTAATTGTAATATTATAAACGACATCAATAAATTAAGGAAGGGAGGAGCGAAAACCACTGTTTACTTCCCGTCTCCTCCCACATAGCCCTCCTGGATTCATTTGTGAGTTTGGTATTGGAAAGATTCGGAAGAGGTCGACCACAGAAATTACTAACAAAAACAGGTTGTTCTGGTGTATTTTGTTGTGTTTCAAGAAATTTTGACCTTCATTTCCGACGCAAATGATCCGTTATTAGTCCAGCGGATAAGCTGCCAAAAAGGGCCGAACTGTTCATATTGGGACGAAAGTATTTGGTAGAGATTTAATTAAACCTATGTGGAAGCTTATAAAAGTTGGACCCATCTCATAATTGTATTCTAAGGTGGTCAAATGGCACCATGGATGTTCGCTATGCTCGCTGGTTTCCAGTACATCTCCGAGACATATTGGCTTTACCCAGCAAGCACCCGCAAGTGTATGAAGAACTCAAGAATGGTAAATCTGTTGTTCAAAAGTCTGGTCATGTGTCCAGCCTAATTGCGCTAGATTGCTTGACTATAATCAAGAGCAATAAAAATAAGCTAAAGGCGGTGGGGCTGCCGTGGGCCTCACATGCAGACAACCCATTAGCTTTTCACCTCTTCCCGTCACAGCCTCACCTCTTCCATTCAAGTGGGTGCAGTGATCATGCCCTCCTGGAAAGTTCTTGCTACACTGAGATAAAAATAACCCTCACCATGCTGTCAGGGTTTCATTATCCTGGTTTACAGGTTATTAGCTAATCTGCTTCGTGTTTTGGGAGTGCCATGTCCCCTCTATCAGCTGTTGATTCGTCAAACAGTTCCCAGCACTAATTGATAACAATCAAACCTAACCAATGGGTTTCCAGCTTAGTAATAACGGGTCCCAATCCCAATAAATACTGATTTCAAAGGATCCCAAATTTAATGGGCTCCAACCGTAGTGTTCAGGACCGTAATGCCTCAGGGGCGATTAAGATTAAGGTCTCTTTGATCTTGCTAATTTCAGTGTTGACTTTGTTACAGCTCAGCATAAGAGGCCAATATATATATATATATATATATATATATATATATATATATATATATATATATATATATATATATATATATATATACAGTATACTAGGAGATAGAGGAATTGGTGTTTTGTATTTATTAGCAGCTAGAAAGGTGGTGCATGCTTATTATTTTAAGAGAAATAGATTATTTCAGTCTTATCCATATCATTTTCTTACATAATCTATTCTTTAGCTTCCTTTATAGCTCTACCACATTTGAGGAGTGATTCATAAACAACAATAAAGACTATATTTTTTAACAATAGTTATTGCAATTTCAAAACGGATATCTTATGGAGTTTTATAAATTCAATCTATATATTTGTCTTTTTTAAAGATAACAATAATACCAGTCAATCAGCGAGTAAGTTAGAGTCAGTAAGAGGTGGTGATGGCAGGTGTTCAGCCGTGGTATGATCAGGTAGAGATTAATATAACTGGGCGTCATGTAACCCTTCTATATCCATGAAGTGGCTGGGATTGATTGGCTTCGGGTTCAGCGCTCCTTTTACCGATGTAATGTCCATCGTAGCTTGGACGATAGACCCCAGTGTAGGGACTAATGCTCCTATAGCCACCATATCCGGGTTCAGCCTCAGGCTCAGCCAGAGCTTCAGCACTCCTTTTACGATGTAATGTTTATTGGAGCCTCCATGATAGCCACCAGTGTAAGGAACATAGCTACCATGGCGTGTGTAGCTACCATGGCCTCTGTAGCTATCATGTCCGGGTTCAGCCTCAGGCTCAGCCAGAGCTTCAGCACTCCTTTTACCGATGTAATGTTTATTGGAGCCTCCATGATAGCCCCCAGTGTAAGGAACATAGCTACCATGGCGTGTGTAGCTACCATGGCCTCTGTAGCTATCATGTCCGGGTTCAGCCTCAGGCTCAGCCAGAGCTTCAGCACTCCTTTTACCGATGTAATGTTTATTGGAGCCTCCATGATAGCCCCCAGTGTAAGGAACATAGCTACCATGTCCGGGTTCAGCCTCAGGCTCAGCCAGAGCCTCAGCACTCCTTTTACCGATGTAATGTTTATTGGAGCCTCCATGATAGCCACCAGTGTAAGGAACATAGCTACCATGGCTTCTGTAGCTACCATGGCCTCTGTAGCTACCATATCCGGGTTCAGCCTCAGGCTCAGCCAGAGCCTCAGCACTCCTTTTACCGATGTAATGTTTATTGGAGCCTCCATGATAGCCCCCAGTGTAAGGAACATAGCTACCATGGCTTCTGTAGCTACCATGTGCGGGTTCAGCATCAGGCTCAGCACTTCCAGCAACCAAGCAGAAGGCCGCCAGGGCAGCAACAACGACCTGCACGATAAACACACGGGTTAATATAGAGAATTGCATTATAATACAGTCGAGTACATGCCCAGTACTTGGCAGTAATGAGTAACAAGACAAGTGGTGAAGAGAATAAAGTAATGTTTATGAATTAGTCCTCATTTTGTGTACCTGTATATATGTTGGTTTTTAATATTCATTCTTATATCATTATACACACATATTTGAAGATGGATAGATAGATAGATAGATAGTAATAACAATAGTTGGATCAACTCACCAAGGTGTTCATGACGGCGGAGAATCTCTGGCTGACTGTGATGAGAACGAGGCGACGCGCCCTTTTATACCTCTGAGAGACACGTCACTCCCCCATCCTCACATGTTGTCAAGGGCACAAGGTGCTGCTGGCAACTCTGTGTAGATCCCGGGGATTTTGGTGGGGGTAAAGTTATAGTTAAGGTAGAAGTGTTCGCTTTTGAGTTAAAAGGGTAACGTGTATGTAATGCGCCCTGGTAAATCATGTAACATGCCAAGTTGTGTTATTTTTATTTGCACACGTATTATTTTCTCAGTTCTGTTTAGTTTTGTAAGAAAACTTTTGAACTTTTAATATTTTATAGATATATCACATCTTAATCCAGGTAGCTCTCGTATGTTCAAGGAAAATATTTTAGAATATTTTGGGATCGCACTGAAACGACCGGAAATGAGGAGGATATTGCTGGCCTTCTAAATGACGGTTTTTTTTAATTCACTGATTAATTGTAATATTATAAACGACATCAATAAATTAAGGAAGGGAGGAGCGAAAACCACTGTTTACTTCCCGTCTCCCTCCCACATAGCCCTCCTGGATTCATTTGTGAGTTTGGTATTGGAAAGATTCGGAAGAGGTCGACCACAGAAATTACTAACAAAAACAGGTTGTTCTGGTGTATTTTGTTGTGTTTCAAGAAATTTTGACCTTCATTTCCGACGCAAATGATCCGTTATTAGTCCAGCGGATAAGCTGCCAAAAAGGGCCGAACTGTTCATATTGGGACGAAAGTATTTGGTAGAGATTTAATTAAACCTATGTGGAAGCTTATAAAAGTTGGACCCATCTCATAATTGTATTCTAAGGTGGTCAAATGGCACCATGGATGTTCGCTATGCTCGCTGGTTTCCAGTACATCTCCGAGACATATTGGCTTTACCCAGCAAGCACCCGCAAGTGTATGAAGAACTCAAGAATGGTAAATCTGTTGTTCAAAAGTCTGGTCATGTGTCCAGCCTAATTGCGCTAGATTGCTTGACTATAATCAAGAGCAATAAAAATAAGCTAAAGGCGGTGGGGCTGCCGTGGGCCTCACATGCAGACAACCCATTAGCTTTTCACCTCTTCCCGTCACAGCCTCACCTCTTCCATTCAAGTGGGTGCAGTGATCATGCCCTCCTGGAAAGTTCTTGCTACACTGAGATAAAAATAACCCTCACCATGCTGTCAGGGTTTCATTATCCTGGTTTACAGGTTATTAGCTAATCTGCTTCGTGTTTTGGGAGTGCCATGTCCCCTCTATCAGCTGTTGATTCGTCAAACAGTTCCCAGCACTAATTGATAACAATCAAACCTAACCAATGGGTTTCCAGCTTAGTAATAACGGGTCCCAATCCCAATAAATACTGATTTCAAAGGATCCCAAATTTAATGGGCTCCAACCGTAGTGTTCAGGACCGTAATGCCTCAGGGGCGATTAAGATTAAGGTCTCTTTGATCTTGCTAATTTCAGTGTTGACTTTGTTACAGCTCAGCATAAGAGGCCAATATATATATATATATATATATATATATATATATATATATATATATATATATATATATATATATATATATATATATATATATATATATATATATATATATATATATATATATACAGTATATTAGGGAGATAGAGGTGGTGTTTGTATTAGCTAGAAAGGTGGTGCATGTATTAGCTAGAGAAATAGATTATTTCCAGTCTTATCCATATAATTTTCTTACATAATCTATTCTTGCTTCCTTTTCTTAACTCCTACCACATTTGAGGAGTGATTCACAAACAACAATAAAGACTATATTTTAACAATGGTTATTGTAATTTTCAAAACGGATAATAACGCAGGTTTTATAAATTCAATCTATATATTTATTAACATTTTAAAGATAACAATAATACAGTCAGTAGCGAGAGTAAGTTAGAGTCAGTAGGCGGTGATGGCAGGTGTTCAGCCGTGGTATGATCCGGAGTAGAGAGGACGTGTATAACTGGAGCGTCCGTAGCCTTTATATCCATAGTGGCTGGGATTGGCTTCGGGTTTAGCGCTCCTCTTACCTTGGTGGTGTCCATGATAGACCGCAGCGTGATGACCATACCTACCATAGCCTCTGTAGCCACCATATCCGGGTTCAGCCTCAGGCTCAGCCAGAGCTTCAGCACTCCTTTTACCGATGTAATGTTTATTGGAGCCTCCATGATAGCCACCAGTGTAAGGAACATAGCTACCATGGCGTGTGTAGCTACCATGGCCTCTGTAGCTATCATGTCCGGGTTCAGCCTCAGGCTCAGCCAGAGCTTCAGCACTCCTTTTACCGATGTAATGTTTATTGGAGCCTCCATGATAGCCCCCAGTGTAAGGAACATAGCTACCATGGCGTGTGTAGCTACCATGGCCTCTGTAGCTATCATGTCCGGGTTCAGCCTCAGGCTCAGCCAGAGCTTCAGCACTCCTTTTACCGATGTAATGTTTATTGGAGCCTCCATGATAGCCCCCAGTGTAAGGAACATAGCTACCATGTCCGGGTTCAGCCTCAGGCTCAGCCAGAGCCTCAGCACTCCTTTTACCGATGTAATGTTTATTGGAGCCTCCATGATAGCCACCAGTGTAAGGAACATAGCTACCATGGCTTCTGTAGCTACCATGGCCTCTGTAGCTACCATATCCGGGTTCAGCCTCAGGCTCAGCCAGAGCCTCAGCACTCCTTTTACCGATGTAATGTTTATTGGAGCCTCCATGATAGCCCCCAGTGTAAGGAACATAGCTACCATGGCTTCTGTAGCTACCATGTGCGGGTTCAGCATCAGGCTCAGCACTTCCAGCAACCAAGCAGAAGGCCGCCAGGGCAGCAACAACGACCTGCACGATAAACACACGGGTTAATATAGAGAATTGCATTATAATACAGTCGAGTACATGCCCAGTACTTGGCAGTAATGAGTAACAAGACAAGTGGTGAAGAGAATAAAGTAATGTTTATGAATTAGTCCTCATTTTGTGTACCTGTATATATGTTGGTTTTTAATATTCATTCTTATATCATTATACACACATATTTGAAGATGGATAGATAGATAGATAGATAGTAATAACAATAGTTGGATCAACTCACCAAGGTGTTCATGACGGCGGAGAATCTCTGGCTGACTGTGATGAGAACGAGGCGACGCGCCCTTTTATACCTCTGAGAGACACGTCACTCCCTCATCCTCACATGTTGTCAAGGGCACAAGGTGCTGCTGGCAACTCTGTGTAGATCCCGGGGATTTTGGTGGGGGTAAAGTTATAGTTAAGGTAGAAGTGTTCGCTTTTGAGTTAAAAGGGTAACGTGTATGTAATGCGCCCTGGTAAATCATGTAACATGCCAAGTTGTGTTATTTTTATTTGCACACGTATTATTTTCTCAGTTCTGTTTAGTTTTGTAAGAAAACTTTTGAACTTTTAATATTTTATAGATATATCACATCTTAATCCAGGTAGCTCTCGTATGTTCAAGGAAAATATTTTAGAATATTTTGGGATCGCACTGAAACGACCGGAAATGAGGAGGATATTGCTGGCCTTCTAAATGACGGTTTTTTTTAATTCACTGATTAATTGTAATATTATAAACGACATCAATAAATTAAGGAAGGGAGGAGCGAAAACCACTGTTTACTTCCCGTCTCCCTCCCACATAGCCCTCCTGGATTCATTTGTGAGTTTGGTATTGGAAAGATTCGGAAGAGGTCGACCACAGAAATTACTAACAAAAACAGGTTGTTCTGGTGTATTTTGTTGTGTTTCAAGAAATTTTGACCTTCATTTCCGACGCAAATGATCCGTTATTAGTCCAGCGGATAAGCTGCCAAAAAGGGCCGAACTGTTCATATTGGGACGAAAGTATTTGGTAGAGATTTAATTAAACCTATGTGGAAGCTTATAAAAGTTGGACCCATCTCATAATTGTATTCTAAGGTGGTCAAATGGCACCATGGATGTTCGCTATGCTCGCTGGTTTCCAGTACATCTCCGAGACATATTGGCTTTACCCAGCAAGCACCCGCAAGTGTATGAAGAACTCAAGAATGGTAAATCTGTTGTTCAAAAGTCTGGTCATGTGTCCAGCCTAATTGCGCTAGATTGCTTGACTATAATCAAGAGCAATAAAAATAAGCTAAAGGCGGTGGGGCTGCCGTGGGCCTCACATGCAGACAACCCATTAGCTTTTCACCTCTTCCCGTCACAGCCTCACCTCTTCCATTCAAGTGGGTGCAGTGATCATGCCCTCCTGGAAAGTTCTTGCTACACTGAGATAAAAATAACCCTCACCATGCTGTCAGGGTTTCATTATCCTGGTTTACAGGTTATTAGCTAATCTGCTTCGTGTTTTGGGAGTGCCATGTCCCCTCTATCAGCTGTTGATTCGTCAAACAGTTCCCAGCACTAATTGATAACAATCAAACCTAACCAATGGGTTTCCAGCTTAGTAATAACGGGTCCCAATCCCAATAAATACTGATTTCAAAGGATCCCAAATTTAATGGGCTCCAACCGTAGTGTTCAGGACCGTAATGCCTCAGGGGCGATTAAGATTAAGGTCTCTTTGATCTTGCTAATTTCAGTGTTGACTTTGTTACAGCTCAGCATAAGAGGCCAATATATATATATATATATATATATATATATATATATATATATATATATATATATATATATATATATATATATATATATATATACAGTATACTAGGGAGATAGAGGTGGTGTTTGTATTAGCTAGAAAGGTGGTGCATGTATTAGCTAGAGAAATAGATTATTTCCAGTCTTATCCATATATTTTCTTACATAATCTATTCTTGCTTCCTTTTCTTAACTCCTACCACATTTGAGGAGTGATTCACAAACAACAATAAAGACTATATTTTAACAATGGTTATTGCAATTTTCAAAACGGATAATAACGCAGGTTTTATAAATTCAATCTATATATTTATTAACATTTTAAAGATAACAATAATACAGTCAGTAGCGAGAGTAAGTTAGAGTCAGTAGGCGGTGATGGCAGGTGTTCAGCCGTGGTATGATCCGGAGTAGAGAGGACGTGTATAACTGGAGCGTCCGTAGCCTTTATATCCATAGTGGCTGGGATTGGCTTCGGGTTCAGCGCTCCTCTTACCTTGGTGGTGTCCATGATAGACCGCAGCGTGATGACCATACCTACCATAGCCTCTGTAGCCACCATATCCGGGTTCAGCCTCAGGCTCAGCCAGAGCTTCAGCACTCCTTTTACCGATGTAATGTTTATTGGAGCCTCCATGATAGCCACCAGTGTAAGGAACATAGCTACCATGGCGTGTGTAGCTACCATGGCCTCTGTAGCTATCATGTCCGGGTTCAGCCTCAGGCTCAGCCAGAGCTTCAGCACTCCTTTTACCGATGTAATGTTTATTGGAGCCTCCATGATAGCCCCCAGTGTAAGGAACATAGCTACCATGGCGTGTGTAGCTACCATGGCCTCTGTAGCTATCATGTCCGGGTTCAGCCTCAGGCTCAGCCAGAGCTTCAGCACTCCTTTTACCGATGTAATGTTTATTGGAGCCTCCATGATAGCCCCCAGTGTAAGGAACATAGCTACCATGTCCGGGTTCAGCCTCAGGCTCAGCCAGAGCCTCAGCACTCCTTTTACCGATGTAATGTTTATTGGAGCCTCCATGATAGCCACCAGTGTAAGGAACATAGCTACCATGGCTTCTGTAGCTACCATGGCCTCTGTAGCTACCATATCCGGGTTCAGCCTCAGGCTCAGCCAGAGCCTCAGCACTCCTTTTACCGATGTAATGTTTATTGGAGCCTCCATGATAGCCCCCAGTGTAAGGAACATAGCTACCATGGCTTCTGTAGCTACCATGTGCGGGTTCAGCATCAGGCTCAGCACTTCCAGCAACCAAGCAGAAGGCCGCCAGGGCAGCAACAACGACCTGCACGATAAACACACGGGTTAATATAGAGAATTGCATTATAATACAGTCGAGTACATGCCCAGTACTTGGCAGTAATGAGTAACAAGACAAGTGGTGAAGAGAATAAAGTAATGTTTATGAATTAGTCCTCATTTTGTGTACCTGTATATATGTTGGTTTTTAATATTCATTCTTATATCATTATACACACATATTTGAAGATGGATAGATAGATAGATAGATAGTAATAACAATAGTTGGATCAACTCACCAAGGTGTTCATGACGGCGGAGAATCTCTGGCTGACTGTGATGAGAACGAGGCGACGCGCCCTTTTATACCTCTGAGAGACACGTCACTCCCTCATCCTCACATGTTGTCAAGGGCACAAGGTGCTGCTGGCAACTCTGTGTAGATCCCGGGGATTTTGGTGGGGGTAAAGTTATAGTTAAGGTAGAAGTGTTCGCTTTTGAGTTAAAAGGGTAACGTGTATGTAATGCGCCCTGGTAAATCATGTAACATGCCAAGTTGTGTTATTTTTATTTGCACACGTATTATTTTCTCAGTTCTGTTTAGTTTTGTAAGAAAACTTTTGAACTTTTAATATTTTATAGATATATCACATCTTAATCCAGGTAGCTCTCGTATGTTCAAGGAAAATATTTTAGAATATTTTGGGATCGCACTGAAACGACCGGAAATGAGGAGGATATTGCTGGCCTTCTAAATGACGGTTTTTTTTAATTCACTGATTAATTGTAATATTATAAACGACATCAATAAATTAAGGAAGGGAGGAGCGAAAACCACTGTTTACTTCCCGTCTCCCTCCCACATAGCCCTCCTGGATTCATTTGTGAGTTTGGTATTGGAAAGATTCGGAAGAGGTCGACCACAGAAATTACTAACAAAAACAGGTTGTTCTGGTGTATTTTGTTGTGTTTCAAGAAATTTTGACCTTCATTTCCGACGCAAATGATCCGTTATTAGTCCAGCGGATAAGCTGCCAAAAAGGGCCGAACTGTTCATATTGGGACGAAAGTATTTGGTAGAGATTTAATTAAACCTATGTGGAAGCTTATAAAAGTTGGACCCATCTCATAATTGTATTCTAAGGTGGTCAAATGGCACCATGGATGTTCGCTATGCTCGCTGGTTTCCAGTACATCTCCGAGACATATTGGCTTTACCCAGCAAGCACCCGCAAGTGTATGAAGAACTCAAGAATGGTAAATCTGTTGTTCAAAAGTCTGGTCATGTGTCCAGCCTAATTGCGCTAGATTGCTTGACTATAATCAAGAGCAATAAAAATAAGCTAAAGGCGGTGGGGCTGCCGTGGGCCTCACATGCAGACAACCCATTAGCTTTTCACCTCTTCCCGTCACAGCCTCACCTCTTCCATTCAAGTGGGTGCAGTGATCATGCCCTCCTGGAAAGTTCTTGCTACACTGAGATAAAAATAACCCTCACCATGCTGTCAGGGTTTCATTATCCTGGTTTACAGGTTATTAGCTAATCTGCTTCGTGTTTTGGGAGTGCCATGTCCCCTCTATCAGCTGTTGATTCGTCAAACAGTTCCCAGCACTAATTGATAACAATCAAACCTAACCAATGGGTTTCCAGCTTAGTAATAACGGGTCCCAATCCCAATAAATACTGATTTCAAAGGATCCCAAATTTAATGGGCTCCAACCGTAGTGTTCAGGACCGTAATGCCTCAGGGGCGATTAAGATTAAGGTCTCTTTGATCTTGCTAATTTCAGTGTTGACTTTGTTACAGCTCAGCATAAGAGGCCAATATATATATATATATATATATATATATATATATATATATATATATATATATATATATATATATATATATATATATATATACAGTATACTAGGGAGATAGAGGTGGTGTTTGTATTAGCTAGAAAGGTGGTGCATGTATTAGCTAGAGAAATAGATTATTTCCAGTCTTATCCATATCATTTTCTTACATAATCTATTCTTGCTTCCTTTTCTTAACTCCTACCACATTTGAGGAGTGATTCACAAACAACAATAAAGACTATATTTTAACAATGGTTATTGCAATTTTCAAAACGGATAATAACGCAGGTTTTATAAATTCAATCTATATATTTATTAACATTTTAAAGATAACAATAATACAGTCAGTAGCGAGAGTAAGTAGGCGGTGATGGCAGGTGTTCAGCCGTGGTATGATCCGGAGTAGAGAGGACGTGTATAACTGGAGCGTCCGTAGCCTCTATATCCATAGTGGCTGGGATTGGCTTCGGGTTCAGCGCTCCTCTTACCTTGGTGGTGTCCATGATAGACCGCAGCGTGATGACCATACCTACCATAGCCTCTGTAGCCACCATATCCGGGTTCAGCCTCAGCGCTCCTTTTACCGATGTAATGTCCATCGTAGCTTGGACGATAGACCCCAGTGTAGGGACTAATGCTCCTATAGCCACCATATCCGGGTTCAGCCTCAGGCTCAGCCAGAGCTTCAGCACTCCTTTTACCGATGTAATGTTTATTGGAGCCTCCATGATAGCCACCAGTGTAAGGAACATAGCTACCATGGCGTGTGTAGCTACCATGGCCTCTGTATCTATCATGTCCGGGTTCAGCCTCAGATTCAGCCAGAGCTTCAGCACTCCTTTTACCGATGTAATGTTTATTGGAGCCTCCATGATAGCCATCAGTGTAAGGAACATAGCTACCATGGCGTGTGTAGCTACCATGGCCTCTGTATCTATCATGTCCGGGTTCAGCATCAGGCTCAGCACTTCCAGCAACCAAGCAGAAGGCCGCCAGGGCAGCAACAACGACCTGCACGATAAACACACGGGTTAATATAGAGAATTGCATTATAATACAGTCGAGTACATGCCCAGTACTTGGCAGTAATGAGTAACAAGACAAGTGGTGAAGAGAATAAAGTAATGTTTATGAATTAGTCCTCATTTTGTGTACCTGTATATATGTTGGTTTTTAATATTCATTCTTATATCATTATACACACATATTTGAAGATGGATAGATAGATAGATAGATAGATAGATAGTAATAACAATAGTTGGATCAACTCACCAAGGTGTTCATGACGGCGGAGAATCTCTGGCTGACTGTGATGAGATGATGATGATGATTATACGGAGAGAAGAGAGCAGTGGCTCTGAGAGTGGGAGAAGGGTATAGTACAAGGAAAAGTTTAGAAGTGGGAAGTAGAGGAGAAGGTTAACAGCAGGTGGGCTATCCACCTTGCGGAGACGTGTTTTTTGTCTTCCGTAACTGTGCTGCGTTGAGAGGTTCTTGGGGTCAGGGAAGGCCGGTCTCAGCCAAGCTAAGCTAGGTTGTTCTAAGTTGTCCTGAGGGCATATTTTGTTAGGGGGGGGGGGGTCTCTCCAGGTCTTTGTGGCACTGGAGGGATGATCCCCATCTTTTAGTTATTTTTATTGTTATATTTTATTGTTATTTTGTTGTTATTTTGTATATAGAGGCTCTGGTTCTTCGTTATCATTTTTCCTGCTTCTAGGCCACCATCCGTGCGATGTGTTGTTGTTTTCCTCAATTAGTTGGTTTAGTATGGGATCCTGTTCTTGGTGGATTTTTTCCCATATTACATTTGCTTGGGTGTGTATTCTGATGTTGAGTGGGTCTGTGCCGTGTTCTGTGTGTATGTTTTGTACTGTTTGTGTGTATGGTGGTTGGTGTTTTGCCGCTCTTCTGAGGGCTATATTTTGCACTGCTTGATATTTGAGTTGATTGGTTCTTGAGATTGTGTTCAGAGGTATCGGGGGGTATTCTAAGTGTGGTCTGATCAGTGCTTTGTATAGGTGCAATTGCGTGTTGGTTTCCAATTGGCGGAATCTTTTGAGCTTAGTAAGTTGTGATCTTGCCATAGCTAATCTTTCGTTAATGTGGGGTGTTATTCCACATCTGGATATCTTGAGTCCTAATGTTTTTCCCTTGGCAGCATATGGTATTTGTTGGTTGTTAACAATAATAGGGCATGGTTTTGTTTTTGCGATGTGAATTATTTGGAGTTTTTGTACATTGGTTTTTATCTTCCATTTACGTTCATAGTCGTTTATTACCTCTATTTCTCTGCATGTTCTAATAGCCATCATTTGTTTGGACTTTCCCGGGTACCTGACTATCTGTGTTACATCGTCTGCGTAAGCTATGTATTCTGATTGACGTGGTTGCGGCATATCTGCCGTGTATACAGTGTATAACGTCGGCGATATATTACTGCCTTGGGGAACTCCGCTATGAAGGATGAAGGTTTGTCCTAGATGGTTGTCGATTATTAATTTGGCCTGTCTGTTATCTAAGAAATTACATAATAGTGCTGTGATATTGGTAGGCATGTCCAATTTGATTATTTTTAACTTCAGTCCTTCATGCCAGACTTTGTCAAATGCTTTTGAAACATCTCTCAGAATTATGTTGCATTGGTCTCTGTTACTTGCAGCATTTGCAATTGATTCGTATATTAGAGCTATTGCTGTGTTGGTTCCTCGGTGTTTTCGAAAGCCGTGCTGTCTCGGGTTATATTTGTTTTCTTGGTCTAGAAAATTTCTCAGTCTGTTGTTGATTATTTTTTCCAATATTTTACCAGGTGTTTCCAATAATGATATAGGTCTGTAGTTTTCTGCTTGAGTATGGTTCTTTCCTGCTTTCGGAATGAGTCTGATTTTGGCTAATTTAAATTTGGTAGGGAAAAAGCCAGTTGCGAGTGAGGCATTGTATATATTTTTGAGCTGTTCGATCATAGACTGAGGAATGTTTTGAAGTACGATTTTATTAATTTGGCTTATGCCAGGTGCTTTATTCTTGAAACTTGCTATTGTTTTTGCAATATCATTTTGAGTTAATGGGGCAATTATTGGGTTGTTTATGTCTAATGAGTTGAGGTTGATTTTATTGGTAGGTTTCCATTTCTCTGTGTTCTGGCTCAAATATGTTTTAGTTGCCTGTTCTGTTTCTTGGCAGAAGCTTCTATTGTCTTCGTCATTTATTCTGAATATGTTCTTCCAGAATTCTCTAAATATTGGTGAGAACGAGGCGACGCGCCCTTTTATACCTCTGAGAGACACGTCACTCCCTCATCCTCACATGTTGTCAAGGGCACAAGGTGCTGCTGGCAACTCTGTGTAGATCCCGGGGATTTTGGTGGGGGTAAAGTTATAGTTAAGGTAGAAGTGTTCGCTTTTGTGTTAAAAGGGTACCAGTAACGTGTATGTGATGCGCCCTGGTAAATCATGTAACATGCCAAGTTGTGTTATTTTATTTGCACACGTATTATTTTCTCACTTCTGTTTAGT